TAGAAAAAGGAAGGATTATTAAGTCTCTCTGTCAAACATTCAGAAAAATTTACAAAACTTAGTGTGAATTTATCGATTGTCAACATCGCGCGTTAATGATTTTCCGAAAAAATCCTCAAAAACTTTGGGTGGCAAAAACCTCTAACTAAACACCCTCTCTCTCAATACACAAGGCGTCACTGACTATATTAGAACCTATCCGACCATAATCTCATGTCTTGCATTTTCCGACGTGACGCGATCCCGTGTTGAAAGAAAATGTGCGCGTTACTCAATTATGAAATTACTTAATTTGTGAGCAACCTCGATAAATACACTCATACCGCGGTAAATGCGCGGCCGACAAAAAACCGTCTCAACATCCTCAAGAAAAAATCTTGCCGCTATAGACAGGTCCTGGTTGAAGTCCTTATTGACCAGTGTTAGCAAGCAAGCAGGGGCTCTAAATAGACTAATACTTTGAAAATGTCACCTTTTCTGTTTTCTGATCTCCTGGAAACATTTTCAAAGATTTAATAAGTATAAATCCTGATAAAAATGAAAAAGCTAACAAAATATCAGTAGCCATGGAGTTTCAGAGGTCACAATAATTTTTTTTTCAAGTCCAACGTAATAAATGAAATTAGCTCTGCGGCACACACACGAAGAAGAAGAAAGAAAGGAAACTCTTAGTGAACTTTGATGTACATTGATATTTTTGCGAAATGTTACGCATCTAATAAGAGTATCATTTTCATTCTCACTCGAAAATTCGAATTACTTTTCATCGTATTCGTTTACATGTTCTTTGATGAAATCCCTACAAAATGCCTTTTACTTCCAGATCAATGTTTAGGATGGTGCCACGTGGCAATGTTCTACTCCATCACAGATAGGTCCTCAAAGAAGGAATGATTCGGAAGGATATCAGTGGCGTGGCGTGAATTGCGATGTATCGATTGTTTTGCCGTTTAAACCTTTGGTAAATAATCGATTAGTAAGGCGTTCGCTGCGAACACCCAGTTTATCGATCCTTTTCCATTGGTTTAAATGACAGATCATTCGATATATCCCAAAGCACGCCACGCCACTGAAGGAAATCAATGAAAGCGCGTATCATCAGTGCCTAAATAATTTCTTTGAACAGGTGTGAATTTCCGTGCGTGTGAGCGTGCATATATTTTTCGTCGAGGTCGCCAATCGTCGTCGGTCGGTGGCGGTGATTGGTTAAGTAAGGAGGCCTGTTTCATGGCTGCCTCGTGGGAACTCAGACCTGGACAGCATTCCAACTGGAGAGTTTGTTGTCTTGTGTGTCCACTTGCGACTTGCGAGGTCGTCCTGCCAGAAACTGGAGTAGATTCCACTGACAACGCTCACGTGACCTTTGAGGTGAGGTGAGAGAGGCTCTGATTTCACCGACCCGACCAACGACCAACGGCCCCAGAGCTGCTCCGGCTCCCGGACACCTGCACAGTGTTGCCGTCCTGTGACCTTTTAAAAGAAATCTTCTGACTAAATGTGCTCGTTCCTCCCAGAACGAGCTATTTTTGGGAGAAACAAAACAACGCTGCTCCTACTTATGCACACCGAGATGTTGACTACATAAACTTTTCAGACCCCGAAAAATAATAGAACTTTCATCCAATTAAAAGATTTTGCCAGGCACACTCTAATGTCGAGTACCTAGATTGGGAAACTTTACCGGCGTGCTGAGGAAAAACACCTTATGAACATTCGTGAGTTGCCTTTCCTAGATAAAACATGTATTTTGTAGGAAAATTCTGCACGTTTTCCGGTGAATTTTCCAGATAATTTGCCAACAGAATCGTTTAAAATATTTGAAGAAATATATTCACAGCTTTCCTGGTACATTCGTTTTTTATCGAAGGAAATATGGCAACGTCTGTTGGCTCATACGGTTTTCTTTCTCATCGAGGCAGTATAGACGGCTCTGGAAAGCCTGGGTAGGATGAGTATGGACGTGTGAAAAATGGAGCCTCTAGGGTCCGAAAGGGCAGCGGGCAGCCCATCTTCACGCAAGAAAAATTTCACTTGTCAACCCTCTCTTTCAAATGTCAAACCAAGATGGCCGACAATGTCTTTACATGGGCGTCCTTCCGCTCGACTGAAGAAATTCTTGCAAAAAACAAAGTCTAATAAGTAGTTTAATATTCTTTCAAACGATGGGTAAAATGATACTTATTGGACCAATAAGTTATTCTGGATAGTTCGAGTTCATAATTGGACGTATTTCTATCAAACGGAACTAAACGCCATAGGGCGAGGAAGGGAGAGGGGGGCTCGCATTGGCGGGTGTTGCGGAATGTGATGCTCGCTCTGTCCTATACTCCAAAATTTTCTATGGCGCTTAGTTCCATTTGACAGAACGCGCTATCCGGGATTCTTAAATCCTCAAAAGGAACTCAAATTGGCGCTTAGTTCCGTTTAACAGAAATACGTCCAATTTGGCTACTTTTGGGCCCTAAGAGAACCATGCCATGAGTGAATCAAACGTAACGTCACAGGCGTGGCGTGCTTTGCGATATATTGATTGATTTCCCATTCAAACCTATGGAAAAGGATCGACGAACAGAATGTTCCCAACGAGCACCGTTGCACTACGCTTCTCTGAATAATAAGCGTAACTCGGAACTCAGGGCGATTCGCGAGTTAAGATCGAGCTGAAAGCGAGACCAGACAGCGATCACTTTTCGTGCAAAGGTCGAAATTCCTAAAATTTTCCTCCAGAGTATGAGACCCTTTTTCACAGATCGTGGTTCCAATTTTGAAGCAGCAACACTTTCTCGCATACTCACAACAATGACAACAAGCTTGGTCTCTGATGCGCTGACTCAGAGCAGGAAACGCAAAATGGAAAAGTTGAATGGGGTGAAACGCGTGATACAACTATTTCGACCTCTAAGTAGGTAAAGTTGAATATCCATGGAATGAAGGAAAACTCTTTCCGGATGACTCGAAGACTTTAACGCACGGGTAGAAAAGTTGAATGGGATGAAACGCGTGATACAACTGTTTCGACCTCCAAGTAGGTAAAGTTGCATATCCATGGAATGAAGGAAAACTCTTCCCGGATGACTCGGAGACTTTAACGCACGGGTAGAAAAGTTGGATGGGGCGAAACGCGTGATCCAAATACCGTGACCTCCAAGAAGATACCATTGCATCGTCAGAAAATGAAGGAGAACAAGGTGTTCTATATCATCCCAACTATTCGGTTCGTAAAACCCAAGTTTCGTGATTTACCGAAAGAAATTTGGCAACGCCTGAAGGTTCATACGGCGTTTTTTTTTAGCACGGCAGTTATGAACGTAAGCTTCTTTCAAGTTTTTTTGCGGAATTAGAGGAAAATATTGAGGCAGTGTTACGTAATTATTATGGGGGTGTTTGGACCAGCGTTGCGATTGTTTTTCAAGGAGGGGCGGGTGTCAAAAAATCAGGGAAATAGCGTTACGTACATTTTATAAACAGCCCCCTAACGCTCCTTACGCACTAGGTATTCGAACCGTTTCACTATTTCGTCCAGCAGGCTGATGCCATGGCTTCAGATGCTTAAATTTTTCTCTAATTTGTCGAAGTTAATAGATTCCGGAAAAATCATAACGTAATGGTCGAGGAATCATTCGGTCGAACTGATTCCAGCAAAAATCCGTTTTATGACTAGATCAAATTGTTGGAATATTACGAGCGTGCTTTTTCCCATGGTGATAAACATATTGGCTACGCTTTAGATTAAATGAACCTCTCAGTTTTAAGACCTTCACTGCATAGTAATGAGATAGTTTTTGCGATGGGACCAGTTTTTATGTCACAGCAGCCACCAAAGCGTCAGAGGATATGTTCGTATCGGTCAATTTCAAATGGATATTGCTTGCCATCTTGGCGTCATCAAGGACCAAATGACCTTGATTTCGCGGCATCATCTTCCTCGTTCTCAGCTGAATATCCCTAAAAGCCACCCCTTTTACTGCCGCAAAATATTTCAGCAGAAAGATAGCGTATTTTACACTCGGGCGGGGTCGGTCGAGCTGAAAGAAATTCGGCCCGCTGATTGAAACATAGACGTCTTGATCCTATCCTCAATACTCGAGTAATACTTGTCAAAATCATATTCTCCGTCGAATTTCGCTAAAATTTTTTTCGTTTTAAAATTTGGTAACACCGTCGAATAACGCTTTTTTTATCGGCACGGCACCGACCCTGTTTTTTTATATTGTATCGATGGGTAAAGTGCCAAACCACGTATTTTTGTTTGAGACGTTGCAGACCTCTCGTAAGCTACTTCAATCTTTCTTTGGAAGACTCTTTAACGTAATTTCTAGTAAACTTCCTAGATTTTTGTTGTAAACAGAATATCCTGTATAAATCTCAAGCTATTGCTTTGTTTCCTCTAGACAGAATAAAACTAGAGCGGAAATTTTGAAGCTCCGCAATGGGAATACGTACTTTCGCGCTTTGGCTATCCATATGCATTGTACTGGAACTCATTGGAGCTCAAAGAAAATTGTTTTGACTGCGATTGAAAATTTTTGGAACTCCTAGGCTTTATTTTCCCCGAGAAATGTTGTGGACGCAGCACCATATCTCCATCTTGTTACATGCAGATCGAACCATTTCTCAGTGTATTCTCTCGCTATCGATATGTGTAGTATGATGTAGGATATTCTCTTGCATGCAATTCTCTGAGATGTGATTTCCAAAAGTCGGCACAAACTGCTCTTCAGTACCAATTTGAATCCTACGAAAATTATTTTGGTCGGACGTCGCCTTCAGGTTCCTTTCCTTATGTATACGTAGATCAGTGTTATGTCCCCGAGTGTGCGACATTCGAAGTCCGTACGCTCTCCCGACCGGGGAGAGCGTACGGCTCATTGTTTTTCTCTCGCTCTTTTAACATTTTCACAACAATTTTCCAATTTTTTATTGTTTTTCTCTCGCCCTTTTGACATCTGTTAAAAACGTTATCTAAGAGGTTATCTAAGAGGACTGTATGTATGTTGCAGGCGAAGGGGCGGGGAGCGAGACCGAGGGCGGAAGTCACCCGGAGCCGGAACCAGCGGCGACGGTGACGCCGGCCAAGCCGCGGGCCAAGCGACGGAGCGGGGGTGGCGGCGGCGGCGGGGGCGGAGGCGTCACGGCGCCCAGGAGCGGCGGCGGCGGCCGAGCGGACGACGCGAGGGACGCGATGAACGGGACGCTTGACCACCAGAACAACAACAACCCCGTCAAGAATGAGCGGCTGAGCCCGAACAACTGCGCCAACGCGGACAACAACTCCTCCTCCTCGCGGAGCGGGACGCCCTCCTCGTCGTACCCCGGGACGCCCCCCGCCGGGGACCGCGGCTCCAGCCCCTCCTCCTCCTCCTCGCTGGCCGCCCTCCCCACGGCGCACCACCCCGGCGGCCACCTCAAGAGCATGGAGCAGATGATGTCCCGCAACTATAGCGATTTCATGAGGAGTCTGGCCGCTAAATATAACAATTCTAATCCCAACGAGTAAGTACCACTTTTTTTTCTTAAGGGATCTAAGTAAATTACCCCCAAGTAGAAAACGTCGAGGATGCCCTGCCAAATCGTGAATTGAGGGAATTAGGCAGGAAATGAGGGCAGGGGATGCTAGTGTTTCTGTTGCTGCACTGGAAAAAAAAACACATTGGATCTAGAGTTCAGACTTTTAAAAACATCGACAAGAAAAAGTATTCTTGATTCAATCAGAATCTAGCTTAAATCAAGAACCAAGCCTCTTAGTTTAAGCGGATTTCGTTTCGATTCGAGCAAAAATCCGATTGAATCAAGAGTATTTTCTCTTGTCAATGTTTTCAAGTGTCTGGACTATAGATCCAATGCGTTTTTTTCCCCCATAGTGTGTTAGTGGCGGTTGGGTTTCGCAGAGCGCACTGAAGCGCCATAAGAGCAATTTATTAGTCGTAGTATAGCAGAAGCGGGGGAAAAAGGAGGTGGGGGAGGTGCACATACAAAGTAGTAGCAACAGCAGAGGTAGTGGTGGTGTTTCAATACACGCACGTTCAATCCTCGAAATTCAATCAAAGAAATCAACTTTCTAAGCAGAATACGGGATCATAAATGAAACAAAAGTAGAGATGGTTGCATATCTTGCTTTTGGAAGGCTAATTTAGGATCTGAGAATCCCTCGTGTTCATTTTTATCCACAGTCTTTTGGGTCTGTATTCTTGACTACGTAATCAAGAAAATAATGCGTTGTGCTACGAAGTGATGTATTGGCGCTAAACTGTGATATAAGAATAACATGAGATATCATGAAAAAAAAACAAGCGCTTGCCACCGTATCTTGAAAAAACATGAAGTAGGTCATTGGCGTGGTGTTCTTTGCGATCTATCGATTGATTTGCCATTTAAGCCTATGGAAAAGGATCGATAAACAGCATGTTTGTAACGAACAACACAATAATCGATTCTCTACCATAGCCTCAAATGGGGGAGATATCGATAATCGATCATCCACGCCTCGCCACTGAAGTAGACTCTTGTCTCTGTGCTCAAAGCTGTGTGAAAGATACGCTTATCACCATAATAACTATATCAGCGTGGGTGACGAAGTATATTTGCTCGTCACTAATGGGCGCAGCTAGGAACTTTTTGTTTGAACGGA